CACTTCTCATTAATATTTACTGTATTTGTTATTTCTCTTTTTACTTGGTGCAATAAAGTGTAAATAAATAAATAAATAAATATTTCGCCCAAATGTCCGGGATTTTTGCCGTGTTTATCCAGTGTTGGCAATTTAGGTGATGGCCGTCCTAGTCCAAACGATTTTTTAAATGATGATCGGTGATCGGTGAAGATGAAATCAGTTGGCTTTTTTTACGGCTAAATTTGGGAGCGTTTGACCACAGATCATACTCATCTGATGTGAAGTGACGACGTAGTCTATGGTGGAGGTCGTAAATCCAATTTTTTTTATACCACAGGTGGCAAACAAGCATACGGCTCACCTGATGGTAAGTGGTTACCGTAGCCTATGAACGCCTGCAATACCAGAGGTATTACGCGCGCGTTGCCGACCCTGAAGAAACCTCTTTACCCCCCTTTTGAAGAACCCCATGCTGTAGTCTCTTGGGAAAACCAGGGAGCTCATTACACAACCTGAGTGTTAAATTAATGTCTATTCAGTAATGCCTATTTGTTTCCAAGGCGAATCGCCTGTATATCAACCTGACAGAGTATGTTAATAGCAATGGGGACACTAGTCCCCGTTATTAAAAATCCATTTTTTCCCCCATCAATAGGAAATAATCCCGTCATCACTAGAGAGAAGGGATTGTTAATAATGCGGACTATCAGTACCATAACTAGCAATATACCCTGTCAGAACGACACGTACGTGGTCTCTCCAGGAAGCCATCGTGCTGAACTCCAGGTGTATTCATCACAATAGGCTAACTGACCTGCCTTTTCATTCTCCCTTGTCGTCCCTCACTGGTGCCCCGCCAGCGTATACCGATAGCACAAGCGAGGTTACCATTCCTTTATCAGCCATTAAAAAAAAAAGGGGGTTTCATAATTCGTCTAGGACACGGTCTAATTACATTTTTTATACGTAAAGTAAACTACAATAAAATGCGAACATTCATTGATTTAATTTGATTTGGACAAATTTATCAATTGATCGTAGTTTGATATGATAAAGAAATCCATTACAGAAACCAATAATTTGATGGCGAAGATAGTAAATAGTGCGGAAGTGTACGTAATATGTATTTATCTAAAAAACTTTAGCAAAAGAAAAACATATTTTTGCGAACACAGATATATTTATTTATAAGGAAAACTGTGTATTATTACGCAGAGCATTGCGAAGTTGGCGAAGCCATGTTTTTTTTCATGGCTGTAAATGAAATGGTAACCTCACTTTTGCTATCGGTATATACCGGCGGGGCACCAGTGAAGAATGATAGGTGAGGATGAAGTAGGTCAGTTAGCCCATCGTGACGAATTCAACAAGAATTATTCACGATGGTTTCCAGGGGGAACCACGCGGAGGTCGACCTAATAAGGTATATTGCTAGCAATGGGGCTGTCAAACTCCATTGCTAACAATCCTTTTCCCTCTTCCTGTCTCTATTGCTTCATGCAATGCACGCACGTATTCAGCATGACGGAGCAAATGTGGAACAAGCAAAGAGACCGAAAAAGTAGTCTTTAGTAAAAGCAGAGTTACCAGTACTAACAAATTTCGGTTTTTCATGTAAATTTTTTTATGATTTTGTGGTGAAAAATCGAAAAATATTAGATGCTGCACGAGAACAAAATAAATATAAATTTACAAATTAATTAATGATACCCTATTCTCTCTAAGGTCCTTGAATCAGTAGTTCATCATCAATTACATCAGTATCTCACTGCCAATCACCTGTTATGCCCTTTCCAATCAGGTTTCCGTCCATCCCATAGCACTACTGGAGCACTACTTAATATTACTGAGGACATTCGGCGTGCCATGGATGACACTAATCTCACAGCTATTGTTCTTCTTGACTTTACTAACGCTTTTAACTCAGTAGATTTTGACATTTTGCTTGCCATGCTCCGTGTAGTAAACGTATCCTCTCCTGCTATTGAATGGTTTTCTTCCTATCTTTTCGGTCGTCAGCAGTGTGTCAGAGCCAATGATGCTTCATCGGATTGGTCTCCACTCACTGCCGGTGTACCTCAAGGTGGCGTGCTGTCTCCTTTACTCTTTTCAATTTTTATAAACAATATTTCTCGGATCATTAATTCTCCCTACCATCTGTATGCGGATGATCTACAACTTTACAGACACTTTGCACTGTCCGAAGTGTCTGATGCCATTGCTGTCTTAAATACGGATTTATCTGCAATACAATCGTGGGCTAACACATTTGGTCTTCTCGTAAATCCTGCTAAATCACAAGCTATCATTATTGGCAGCAGCAGGATGCGATGCAGGTTGAATTGGACCGGGATACCGCCACTTTACTACGATGGAGTTCCAGTGGCATATAGCGAGAAGGTTAAGAACCTTGGTCTCATAATGGACGGCACTCTATCTTGGACATGTCATATAAATGAGCTCAGTAGACGCATGCACTTTACATTTCACTCTCTCAAGCGACTTCAATACTTTCTCCCAGTAAATACTAAAATCATGCTCGCACAATCTCTACTACTCCCAATACTTGACTATGCCGACGTCTGTTTTTTGGATGTGACTGAGGAGCTTCTAAACAAGCTGGAACGATTACAAAATCTGGCCATTAGGTTCATCTTTGGTCTTCGTAAATATGATCACGTTTCTGCCTTTCGCAACCAGTTAAAGTGGCTTCCTATCCGACTTCGACGTGATATGCACATCCTTTCTTTCCTTTATAACATACTTAATAACCCCAATTCTCCTTCGTACCTCCGCTCTCGATTTAAATTATTACCACCACCAATCCGTCCTAAACGCTCCTGTCAAGTTCAGTCCAGGATTCTCGACCTACCTTTGTGTAGAACACATTTTATGGGCAACTCTTTCTCGTATCGAGCTGCTCAATTATGGAACAAACTCCCTTCCCACATACAAGAGAGCCCTTCAATTACCTCTTTCAAGAAAAGGTTGAAGTTACATTTTCTTTCCTTTGAGTCATAATTTATTTATTTTTATAATTGAACTGTCAAACTTTGAAATCATTGAACTAAATTTCTATTCTAGGTAGTATATTCATTTATTTTAACATCCACTGTATAAGTAAGTAGATATTATATTTATTTATAGTATATGTATTTATGTAATATTTTATTATGTATCTTAATATTTTATTTAACTGTATATTTGTTTATGTATACTAAATATTAATAGTTGTAGCACTTCAGCTGCCCGCTAGCAACATGTTTTCTAACTGCATTGGGTTGACTGGAAGAGATCTCTGTCAGAGATAAGTCCACCCTTGCTCACAATATTTATAAATGCATTAACATTGTAATTTACAAGTGCAATAAAGAATATATAATAATGATTTTCTTTTAATTCATTTTCAACTCGACAAAATTCTAAAACATAAAATTCTTTCGGTTTGATCCTTTAGAGTTGGCAACTCCAGTAAGTTCCTCCTAAAAACTATACGGATTAATCCTTGTAGAATACGTCACGATGGTCCAACTGACCTGGTAGTTTACCATGAAATGAAAATCCGAATTTTCGCGCTCAATTTCGTGCTTTTGTTCGTACCAAAATCGACCCAGTAAATGGAGCTTAACATTTCGTTCATCATAAATCCTATCCTAATAGTCCAGAGGAATGATATTTTAACATTTTTAATAATTTTAAACGGCATGTATTATGTAACTTTACAATAAATTTCTGTTTCGTTCGTGCCCGAAATTTCGGAAAATATTTCATGGTAGGCCCTCTGCTTTCATCCTCACCTACTCATTACCTACTCTGTCACTAATATCATAGAAAAAAAAAGGCTGCACAATACTGTAACGCGTCAAAGACAAGCTGTGAGAATCGAAAGTCGAAGATCTCATGCTCACAGGCGGTATCGAGCCCTTAAATCTAAAGCGAGACTACCTCCCTATGAGTTCTACCGCTTGTATAAGGCAACTGTGTTCTGAGGAACTGTTTGAAATAATGCCTACAGCCATCTTTTTTATTTTATTTTTTAATTATTTAAAAGTTCATTGGCATTAAACAGTCTTAAAATTATTACAAAAGCCACGTGTTACTATTTTGGCACGTGTTTAATTGCCTTAAAACGATGTAGGCAAGCAGACACCTTTTATAATAATATTGTAGAATGCATTAAATAAAATGAATTCAATTTTATCACCGCACCGCTCGCCATCGACAGGGAGTTCATCCTCAAACGCTTGAACCTAAATGGTCACGTACAGTGCGGTTTCGAAGGAATTATCTGCCGAGGTTTTTCCTAGAGACTACAGTATGGGGTTTTAGAAAAAAAGGTTTATTAAGGTTTTTTTTAATGGGTGATAATGTTGGGGGGAAAGGGATTGTTAGTAATGGAGACTGAGAATCCCATTGCTAGCAATATACCCAACCAGGTCGACCCCCTCACGGTTCTCCCTGGAAACTATTATGGTTAATTCCTGATGAATTCATCATAATGGGCTAACTAGCCTGTTTTCATTCTCATCTATCACCCTTCACTGGTGCTTCGCCAGCGTATCCCGTTAGCGCAGGAGGGGAGTCCGTTACCATACCATTTTCACCCATAAAAAAAAATGGATGATAATGTAATAGTAACTCCACCCGCGCTATCGGTATACACCGGCGGGGTATCAGTGAGGTATGATAGATGATCATGAAAGCAGGTCAGTTAGCCCATCATGACGAATTCTACTAGAATTAATCATGATGGTTTCCAGGGGGAACCACGTGGAGGTCAACATGATAGGGTGTATTGCTAGCAATGGATCAATTAGACTCCATTACTAACAATCCCTTTCCCCCCGTTTATTAAGGTTTCATCTGAGTCGACAACAAGCACGTGACACTCCTAGTGCTGCAGGCGTCCATAGGTTATTATAACCGTTTACCATCAGACGGGCTGTATGCTTGTTTACCACTTTCATGGTACAAAAAAAAACTTTTAAAAGTATAATTTAAAACAAAAAAAAAATTACCTGCCGCAAAAACGGTACCGACGATTCCTTATTCTTAGGTGAATCGCCTTCCATTTTCAAAAAATAAAAATGTAGACGAATCGATTATAATAAAAAAAAAACAACACCACCAAACTAATATAACGGAAATCTTAAATTTTTTTTTAATCCGTTCTAAAGAATATATTCTATCATTATTTTTTTTTCTTTTACTTTTTTTTCTTACACTTGCATGAATACACGCAGAACCTATTCTGTACTGACTAATAATACGAGTACATATTATTGATTGGACATGACTGTGTCCTTTGGATTGGTTACGTCTTCGAAATCAATGATTTTCTAAAGATAATACAATTAAGATTAGATTAACACAATCTATGCTGCAACAAACGTATTTGTTTTTTTATATGAATCATGGCTACTGATTATTTTAAGCACCACTTATACTCATAAATGTGAAAGTGTGTTTGTTTGTTTGTCAACTTATAGCGGTTTAACGTCTGAATTAATGATTACGAAATTTAGTATAGAAGGATATAAGATTTTTTTTTATCCTGGTCAGTAAACATGTCCCGGTCACGCGGACGAAGTCACGGGTGAAAGCTAGTGGACCGTCTTTAAAAAAAAAACGTTCACGCTCACTTTTGTACATTCATTCATTCATTCTGTCTTCATTCGTTCATTCTTCATTCGTTCGGTCATTCTTCATTCGTTCGTTCTTCATTCATTCATTCATTCGGTCATTCTTCATTCATTCGATCTTCATTCATTCTACATTCTTCATTCATTCTACTTTCTTCATTCATTCTACTTTCTTCATTCATTGATTCTTCATTAATTCTTCTTCATTCATTCATTCTTCATTCTATCATTCGGTCATTCATTCTTCATTCATTCATTCGGTAATTCTTCATTCATTCATTCTTCATTCTATCATTCGGTCATTCATTCTTCATTCATTCATTCGGTAATTCTTCATTCATTCATTCATTCTTCATACATTCAGTAGGTCATTCATTCTTCATTCATTCATTCGGTCATTCGTTCTTCATTCATTCATTCGGTCATTCTTCATTCATTTATTCACTCTTCATTCATTCTTCTTTCATTCTATAGTTCATTCATTCATTCAATTATTCATTAATACAAATTATACAAATTACTGTGTCGTCACATGACATTCTTCGTACGTTGCCATTCTTAAGGAGGGGATTATTCTGTTGTGCCTCTGTACTTTGTATTTTCACAAAAAAAACCAAAACTGCTGCTACTGCTCAAACAAAAACATGCCCAAACACAGCTGTTTCATGACAGAAACACGAGTGGGACAAACGTACCCAATTAGAAAGCCGTTGTACAGTCTTTCGGTAAAGCAATAATTTTAAATAAGAATACACTTGTATGAATATAAAAAATTTGTTATGATTGATGTGTCCTTCAATCAGAACTTTAAAATCGTCTGCTTTGGTACCTTTGTCCCATTCGTGTTTCAACCGTGAAACAGTTGTGTTTGTATAGCTGATTCGATTTAAAGGGTAGTAGAATATAGCAGTAAATTTACAGGGTAGGCAGAGGAATAACATCTGAGTCCTCAAAAATTGAAACGAAAGGGTATCATGGGCGATACAGGATACTCTGCTATGTCTATGGTACTGCTCATGTCTATAGGCGGTTACCACATTCCATCAGGTGGGCCGTCAGCTTGTTTACCGTGTTTCTGTGTTGAGTAAATAAAAAAAAAAACAACCAATTTTTTTATTTAATTAAATAGTATATGATTTAATCAAAGTCTATTACATAATTTTGAATAATTGTTGATATATTTTAATTTTTTTTTAATCTACCTTTAATTTGGGATTTTTGTTTTTTAACATGTCAATCCCATAAAATCTAAACAAGTTTTCTACTATTACAATTATGACTAAACAATACTATTTACTAATTCAATTAAGCACAAAGCAATTTTGGTAGTAGGAGCATGCATTATGCTCTGAACAATCCCCACATCAAATTTATTAATATTAAATGTTTTTATATTTTCATATAAAATCTAGTTATTGTAACTACCTATATACGTAGGTATATAGCTTTAGTACTTTACGTAGGTATATATAACTTTATCTTATGTGAGACTATCAAAATATCAAGATAACCAAGTATGATCTACCTCCACTTTAACACGATAAAGCATCGATAAGTTTTATTGTAAATCAAAGTTAAACAATATACACGTATGTAAAATATATATGCATACTGGCTGACTCGGCAAACGTTGTTTTACCATATACATTATTTCTAGAACTATACATGAAAATATATCGTACTACAATTATTATATTGGATTACCATCTTGCAATCCTATTGCGGCATATAAAAATCGCGATTAAAAAACAGGGGTTGATCGTAAAACGGTGAAAATTTAAAGTTTGTATTTTTCAATGCTAAATCATAATAAAATAAAAATGGAAAAATTTGTTAAAAAAATTAAAAAAAAATTTTTTGGGGAGGGTCACCCTTATCATTGAGGGGTATGAAAAATAAATGTTGGCCGATTCTCAGACCTACCCAATATGCACACGAAATTTCATAAAAATCGTTAAAGCCGTTTCGGAGGAGTTTGGTAACAAACACCGTGACACGAGAATTTTATATATAAGATATTGTGTAGTATCGAATTGGAAGGTACATGCAAGTTATCAGTGAAGTCTCGAGTGCAACGACATTGATAGGGTGCCTTGAACATCGCAATAGAAACAGTAAACACGTGTTTCTTTTTTTTATGAATGACAATGGAATGGAGCACACATGCAGATCAAGGAAGGAGTTGGTGTCGTGTCGTATCAAGAGGTGAAGAGACTCGCTGCAAATCGTAGTGAGTGGCAAGAGCTCCGCCGACAAGAACGCAGCTCTTAAATAGGATAGAGAATAGAATGGAATGGTAACCTCGCCTGCGCTATCGGTATACACTGGCGAGGCACCAGTGAGAGATGATAGGTGAGAATGAACAGGTCAATTAGCCCATCGTGATGAATTCACCTGAAATTCAGCACGATGGTTTCCAGGGGGGACCACGTGGAGGTTGACCTTTTTGGGCATATTGCTAACAATGAGACTGGTAGTGCGCATTATTAACAACCCCCCCCCCTCCCCCCAGTAAGCACATGTGAGTATTTTTTTTTATCCATGCACAATCATCGCCTTGTGGTCCCTGCATAGAATAGGCCATGCCTTCCTTACCCGTTGGTGTCGTAAGAGGGAACTAAGGATCTTTTTTTTAATGAATAATAATGGAATAGTTACCCCGCCTACGCTATCGGTATACGCTAACGGGGCACCAGTGAGAGATGATAAGAGACGATGGAGCAGGTCAGTTAGCCCATCTTAACAAATTCACTAATGAATCAATCACGATGGTTTCCAGGAGGAACCGCGAGGAGGTCGACCTGATAGAGTATATTGCTAGTAACAGGGTTGTTAATCCCCGTTACTAACAATCCCTTTCCCCCCAGGCGACTAAAGAAGGGAAAGGGAAAGGCAGCAGCATCCCTATTAAAACGTCTCCAAAGCCTAACTGCAGTTGCTAATCAGGCGGATTAGCGTGGCAAGTACTGGCAAAACCCCCCAAGGAGGAAGCTTATATCCAGCAGTGGACAGTTTAAGGCTGATAGGTCAATCTCCACGCGGTTTCCCCTGCAAACCATTGTGGTTAATTCTAGTCATCACGATGGGCGAACTGACTTGCTTTCGTCTTCACCTATAATCCCTTACTGGTGGGCACCAGCCTGCGTATACCGATAGCGCAGGCGGGTGGCTATTTAATCTTCACCCATTAAAAAAAAACTATTTACTTTTATTTGGTATAAATAACATATAAAGAAAATATTTAGAAACGTAACCTAATTAATTTCTTTTATTTTCCCACTTTTTTCATACCGATTTCTGTTGAAGTATAGAAATCGGTAAAATTAAATAATTCTAAATAAAACATTGGCCTATTTTTTAATTGGTTTATATCACCAAAAAATTTGTTAGTTCCTTCACTCGCCGCTAGGGATTAGCAAAGATGCTAATACACTGAGAGCACATACTGGTAATCATTTACATAAAATTAACGCTAGATGGCGCTATGATAATAATGCTATTTTTAGCCTTGAAAAATAGCTCAACAATTATTCCATACACCAAGCATACATTTATTCGAAATAACTGTGATGTATGTATTATTATACTATTTGTATGAATACCTAAATAGGTAGACATTACGTACTAGGTATACACATAATATCATAGTAAAGTATCTGCGACATAAACATCTTTGGACGTTTACTAAACTGATTTGAATGAAATACGACATAAAAAAGTTAATAGATTTTATATTTCTGTAATCATTAATGTCTAGTTATTATAGAAACTTTACCTAACTTGTTTAACTTTAATTTGTCACAGATAAAAGCTTGTAAAAAGAAATATTTTTATTTAAGTTAGACTTAAGCATTATATAAATTAGAAAATACAGCTAAGCTATCAACTGCCGTTTGAAATAATTGAACACAACTTATAGTCCAGTGATAGTCTGTGTAATACCACAGACAATATAATACTATACTAGGTAATACTGACTGGCTGTCCAATAGTAGATTAATTGAAAATAGAATAAATTTATATTACCAATGTAGTTAAAATGCTTAAAATTGGGTTGTATATTAATTTTAATAAATAAAACAAAGAAATAGAATTAATTCATTTATTTACTCTTATAATTACTTACATATAATTATTACTTATTTTTCACTTGTCCAGCAAGATGATCATCTACTGTGGCGTGAATAAATGAGATCAGTCTTAATATCAGATTTGAACAAAACAAATTAAGGTACACTAGGGACTAGGGGTTTGAGATTGTCCGTTTCACAGTTCAGTCCACCTCCTCCACGGTGGGGCCGTCGCTCCTCGGCTGGTACTGGTTGCCGCCGGGCATGCCGCCCGCCCCCGCCCCCGCCCCCGCCCCCGCGCCGTGCATCTTGCTCATGATGGGCGAGCACGCGCGCTGCACCTCCTTCAGCTTGTGCTCGTACTCCTCCTGCTCGGCCAGCGTGTTGTTGTCGAGCCAGCGCAGCGCCTCGTCGCACTGGCTGCGCGCGGTGCTCTTGTCCTGCTCGCTCAGCTTGTCGCCGGCCTCGTCCAGCGCCTGCTTCACGCTGAACACGTACGACTCGAGCTGGTTGCGCGCCGCCACGCGTCGCCGCTGCTTCTCGTCCTCCTCCTTGTACCGCTCCGCCTCCGCGAGCATGCGGTCGATCTCCGCCTGCGACAG